GTAATATGTAATAAATCAAAATATTGTTTGTTTAATAAAAGTTTAATACGTTTATGTAATGATAATTTGCATAATTTATTAGGGTTTTAAATTAAAATATTTTAATGAGTATAAAATTATTCGAATAGATTCATTTATTTAGATAAACTCAGTGAGTTTATAAACGATATAAGAATTTACTTTTGTAATGTTAATCATTTTTAAATATCAAAAAACTTTGTGATTTTTCAAAAAATTGTTTAATGATTAATAGAAAATTTTATGTTCATAGCTAAAAAGATAAGTAAATCGATACCTTTTTATAAATTTCTCAATTATTCGATTCTTTTTTTATAATTTTTAAAGCATATAGATTCATATTTAAACGATATATTCAAAAAAAATATTAAATTAATTATTTATAATATTCTTTTATATAAATAGAAAAATAATAATCTTTCATATACTAAATTAAATTAATCGAATTAAAAAATTATAAAATATAAATAATATAAAAAGCTCCGATTATTTTCTAAAAATATAAGGAATGAAAATTTATTTATAATATATCATTTTAACAAAATTATGAAATTATGCAAAATCTTTATCGGTCTACAATCTATCTCGATCGATCTATGATCAATTTAAATATTTCTTTATATATTCATAAAATATTCTAAGAAATAAAATCTAATAAAATGTAACTCTCGAAATAAAACTAATTTAGATTTTAGATAAAATTTCAAGCCATATTCCAATAATCGATTGGTTAAATTGAACTATCAATATTCACATTCACAAAATTTCTCGTGTCTTTACCAATCTTAAAAATATACAAAATAAAATTTAGAGACAATAAAAAAAAAAAATAAAAAAAACTTTAGAATAAATAACACTGTCTTTTCATTCATCGATATCAAATCTTTAAAGTTCCAAAACATTTTTAATCGAATTCAATTTCAATTCGAATCAATATCAAATATATCTTAAAATCCTGAAATCATTCTTGAATCATCATTAAATATTCGTATATTCGAATCAAAAAATAAATAAATCCGTCGTATGATTATTCTTATATATAATCATTAATACATTTTCAAACTTCGAAAAACATCCTAAAACATTATAAAATATTCAATTCGAATTTAAATTTAATTATTTGAATCAAAGCAAAAATATCATCATCATCATCATCATCCAGTTCTTATGAAAGACGAAAAAGGATAAGAAAAAAAAAAAGAAGGAAAGGAACACGTGTGTGACCGTGCCTCCACTTCCTTCACTGATCATTGACCAATTTCTGCTCTTCCCATCGGCGTTTCTTGATAACCAAAAATGAAGGGTATCATCGCGCGGTAGTGTCAATGACATAACACGAAAATCAGCGGCGCTAATTACGCGATAACGATCCACCGTTAGGGTTCTCAGCTTGCAGGGCAACCTAACCGTGTGCCGGTTCTTTCGATCGACGAAAAGAAGAACGCGAGTATGAACGATCGAACTACCCGTGATTGCGTTCAAAGAAGAAAACCGTGAATATACATCTTACATATACATATTACTATATAACGTAATACGTGACACATGTTCCTATGTGTACGTGCTTACCTTTTTGTGTACGTGTATTTTATGTATACATATATACACGTTTATTCGGTTTGGATATACGCGATAAATATTAAAGTTCCTTATAAAACACAAAGTTCTGCCGCTCTGCTTGGCCGGCACACCGGAGGCCTCTGACACGCCATTGCTTCATTTAAAATGCAAATTCGTCCGTGTGGCGTGAACCACAGCGGCCCGAATTATTCTAATTACCCCCCTCCAATACCCCGTCCACCCTTTTTGCTCGTTCTTGCTCCGCCGTACTCTCGAAAGCTCACCAGGTCTCTTGGTGTGCTCGGCGCTTCGATATATTCGAACGAGAGAAAAGAAAAAAAGTAAAGATTCCGCTAAATTCGTGATTGTAGCCGACGTTACCGATAAGCAACAAGCTTATACTGTTCGCTTTCCAAATTAACCTTGAATGACAGTTTCGAAAAGGTGTTTGTTACAATTGTAGATTGTGCTGCTTTATTTATTTAGAAGACAATTTAGAGGCACAATATGAATATTTTTTATGATATCAACAAAGATTTACAAAATATTAATAATAAGCGTTTAAACTCAGTTTTTTTGATAATTATATAAATAATTATGTTAAAATTAGTTCTCGATTGATATCATTCGTTATTATAAGCTCTGGATTGAACTTGAATTGGATTATTTAATTTTATAATTTTCAATATAAAACATAGTAAGAAGAAAAAAAATTTTCTACAATGCAATCTATAATTAAAACTTGAAAGAACTAATATTGAATCTTCTCTTGATCCTTAAACTTATTAATCTTTTATTGCAAATTATTTATTAAAAATTATATTTGAGTGTTTTTTATTTGTTTATCTTGATATAGAGAAAATGTCAACAATATTAATTCTGACTGAAAACAATTAGAATCAACTTGATACTTAGGAATATATCAATACCAATTCATTGAAAATTATATTGAAACATCCAATTATTTTATCTTCGTTAAAAAAAAAGTTAATGTTATGATTTTTCAAACGTGTAGGAATGAAAACATAGAAGCGAAAAGGGAAGTAAAGTAAAATTTTGAAAAGGTAGATAAAAGAAGAAGCCAGCCAATGACTACGGTAGCCATTACGCAGAAACGTGTAAAAGTGTGCTAGAAACGAGCATAGATTATCGTGGGTAACGTGTTCACGATCCGAGCGAGATGTCGTGTGCATGTAGGTCTAATATATTCAGATTTTTATGGCTGGTGGCATATCGGAGATACGGCGGTCCACCCCCGTCTCCTTGCCACCCTCCTCCCACTCTGTAACGTTGGCTGTGTCAGGGCAAGCCTTCTCCACGTACCACTTAAAGCGCGGGGTAACCTAATGAATAAACAAAAACTAGATTTCGCTTAGGGCTTACACGTAAAAGCGTGACCTTACCGGCGATTTATCGCCTGCGGTTCTCAAATCAAACCTTTTTCACAAGTGGACGAAATCGGGGTAAAAAAAAAAAATGTAATGAGAGAAATTGCGTAATATTGCAATATAGCGAAATTTTAAAGTAAATATTCAAGATAAAATACAAGCTACAAAGAAATTGATAAGAAGCATGAACACAGCAAGAATTTTTGGACCATACGTGAGGAAATTTCAATACAGAGCAGAATTAGGAAAAATAGATTTTTGAAATAGAGATAAATATTTTTATTTTCATATGATTTTTGTGGAAGTTTTGTGAATAAATTTTTCTTTGAAATATAATATAATGGAACATAGAAACGTAAAAATTCTTGAACTATATGTATATTCGCTATCTAAAGAATCAGAAATGAAAAATAAACATAATCATATTTGACACTTGTAATTTGTAATTAAACAAAAAATAAATATTTTATTTACATGAAATAAATATTTTCCAGCGATTTAAATATTATATAATATATTATTTTCAAATGATATTTGTTTATGGAAATATTTTGAATTTTCTATTATTTGTTTTAATTTGTTTAAATCTTTCTGATATTTTATATATTAGATTAAGATTGAATAATTTGATGTTAAAATTACATGATATATTGAAATCTATTTTAGAAGAATATTTATTATTTTATTCCACAATGATGGTCTATTTATTTGGAAAAAAATTGAATGCATTATAAAAAATTATACGTTAGAAACTCAAATGAATAATGGTATAGATTTTGCTTTCTCGTTTTCTAATTGTTAAAGCAGTAAAATTTTTGCAATTTCCCTATTTGAAAATGAAAATCCGTTAAAATACCGTTAAAATCTTTTATTGAGCATAAAATATTACAGAATACTGTTAATTAAGATATTAATCAGTTATTCATATCATAAAGAATTTAATTTATTCTTTTCTCTCAAAGTAGAATTGATATATTTCACGTGTAATGTGACAATTTAATCAAAGACAAAGATACAAAAATTTTAAACCAAAATACCAAATATTTAAATATAATAAATGTTTTATGAAAAATAACGATTATGTATTTCATCCCTTAGAAATCACTTTAAAGAAATTTTTAAGGATTTTCTTCTCTATTGGATTGTTATGCATATCGTAACGTTAGAAAGGTTCATTTTTATGTTCGTAACTCGATGTGTAATAGCGAAATGAAGAATTCTTTATGAAAAATTTGATACAATCTTTTATCCAAGAAAACATTGTATTAATTAAATTAAATTTGCATGAATTTAAATTTAAAGAAATTCTTTTGAATTTCGGAGTTCGATAGTGTCTTATGCTGGCATTGATGTCACCGCAATTACATATTATTCGTGAGTTTTTTAGTAAATATAATCGTAGTTTCTGTATATTTAATTTTATATATTTAATATCTATGCAATCTTCATGCATTATAT